TTAGGGTTTAGGGTTTAGGGTTTAGGGTTTCAGCATCGATGAATTCATATTAGCGGATTCTGTCCTTCCTTGACGCAAACCCTAAACCCTAAACCCTAGACCCTTTGGCCGCTTAACGTATCATAGGATTTTCGTGTTGTGCTGCTTTTACCCTTGCTGCTGCTGCTGTTGCTGCTGCTGCTGCACTTGCTGCTGCTGTTGGAGGCCTCCCCACCATACGCTGCGACTGCGTGTTCCGGTGGTGCTGCTTCTCCGTTTCGCCACCGGCCTTCCCCGCTGCTGCTGCTGCTGCTGCAGCGCTGTGCTGCTGCTGCTGCAGCGCCGCGCTGCTGGTGCTGCTGCTGCAGCGCTGTGCTGCTGCTGCTACAGCGCCGCGCTGCTGCTGCTGCTGCTGCTGCGGCGCTGTGCTGCTGCTGCTGCAGCGTCGCGCTGCTGCTGCTGCTGCCGCAGCGCTGTGCTGCTGCAGCGCCGCGCTGCTGGTGCTGCTGCTGCAGCGCTGTGCTGCTGCTGCTGCAGCGCCGCGCTGCTGCTGCTGCTGCTGCTGCAGCGCTGTGCTGCTGCTGCTGCAGCGCCGCGCTGCTGCTGCTGCTGCTGCTGCTGCTGCGCAGGGCTGCTGGACGGGATATTCGACGGGATTCAGCGCCCGCTGGAGCGCATTGCTGCTGCTTCGGGCTCCGTCTTCATCTCCAAGGGCTGCGAGGCCCAGGCCCTCGACCCCGACAAGAAGTGGCACTTCGTCCCTTCCCCTTCCCTCCAAGTCGGAGACATCCTCACAGGCCAGTCCTTTTGTGGGGTCTTTGGGATCGTTGGGGATCGTCTGGGATCGTTGGGGATCGTCTGGGATCGTTGGGGATCGTCGGGGATCGTTGGGGATCGTCGGGGGTCATCAGGGATCGTTGGGGATCGTCGGGGGTCGTTGGGGATCGTGTGGGGTCCTCGGGGATCGTGCGGGCTCCTCGGGGATCGTCTGGGATCGTCGGGGATCGTCGGGGATCGTCGGGGATCGTCTGGGATCGTCGGGGATCGTCGGGGATCGTTGGGGATCGTTTGGGGATCGATTTGGGACTCTTTGTGTTTTGGGGGGTCTTTTGGGGCTGTTTTTGGATCGTTATTTGCCAACTCTAGGTCTCCTTTTCGTGTTCTATTGAGCGTTTAGGGTTTAGGGTTTAGGGTTTAGGGTTTAGGGTTTAGGGTTTAGGGTTTGCGTTGCAGGGGGGGACATATTGGGGACAGTGTTTGAAAACAACCTTTTTAAAAACCACCGCATTTTAGTCCCCCCCAAAAAGCAGGGCCGGCTCACCTACATAGCCCCAGAAGGCAAGTTTTGCTTCTTTGTTTTCCTTTTTTTTCATTTTTTGATCTTTTTTCTCCTTTTTCGTCTCATTTTTGTCCCCTTTTTGTCTCCCTTTTGTCTCCATTTTTGTTTCCTTTTATGTGTCTTCTTTGTTTCCTTTTTGGCGCTTTTTTTGTGCCTTTTTCGTCTCTTTTTTGGCGGTTTTTGAGCTCGTTTTTGAGTCCTCTTTGTCCCTTTTTTCTCTCTTCTTGGCTCTTTTGTCGGCTCCTTTTTTCTCCTTTTTTGTTTCCTTTTGTCTCCTTATTTGTCTCTTCGTTGTCTCTTTTTTGTCTCCTTTAATGTCTCCTTTAATGTTTTCTTGTGTGTCCCTTTTTTGTCCTCTTATTTGTCTCTTATTTGTCTTTTATTTGTCCCTTTTTGTCTCCTTATTTGTGTCTTTCTGGGCTACCTTGGAAGCTTTTTGACTCCTTTTTGGCTCCCCTTTGTCCCTTTTTTGTTTTTCTTTTTTCTCTTTTTTTCTCTTTTTTATTCCTTTTTTGTTCTCATTTGTGTCCCTATTTGTGTCATTATTTGCCTCCTTTTTATCTCCTTTTAATCTCTCTTTTAATCTCTTTTCAAATATCTTTTTTTCTCTTTTTTTAATCTTTTTTATCTCCCTCATATCTCTTTTTGTTTTTTTGTCTCTTTTTATCTCTTTTTTGTCCCCTTTTAATCTCTCTTTTGTCTCTCTGTTATATTCTCCCAGTCTCTCTTGTTTTTGTTCCTTTTTTATTTCCTCTTTATTTCTTCTTTATTTCTTTTTTAAATCTTTTAAACATCTTTTATTTCTCTTTTTTGCATCTAATTAGTCTTATTTACCTTCTATTTGTTTGTCTCTTTTTGCCCCCTTTTTCACTTCTTTCTGCTGCTGCAGTTCCTCTTCCTCGTGCTGCTGCTGGTTTGCTGCTGCACTTTAACTCACTTTGTTGCTGCTGCTGCTGCGTCTCCCGTTGCTGCTGCCGTTGCTGCTGCTGCTGCTGCTGCTTGAAACGCCGAGTTGGCAGTTCTGCGGCTGCGTTTTCGGCGGTTTTCGGTGCGTGCGGTGGTTCGCTGTGAGCCAGAGCTGCTGCTGCTGCTGCCGACCCGCTGCTGCTGCTGCTGCTGCTGCTGCAGGAGAGTTCAGCGTGGGGGACTTGGTGGGGGAGCTGGAGTTTCAGGGAAAAAGTGTGGGGCTTTCTCTCGACCACGAATGGCCCGTCCGAGAGCCCCGGCCTTCTTTCGAGAAGCTCGCCGGCAACACTCCGCTGCTGACTGGTCAAAGAGTTTTGGATTGCCTTTTTCCCACAGTCCAGGTGCTGCTGCTGCTGCTGCTGCTGCTGCTGCTGCTGCTGATTGTGGGGATTATGGTGGTTGTGGTGATGGTGGTGATGATTGTCCGCTGCTGACTGGTCAAAGAGTTTTGGATTGCCTTTTTCCCACAGTCCAGGTGCTGCTGCTGCTGCTGCTGCTGCTGCTGCTGCTGCTGCTGCTGCTGATTGTGGGGATTATGGTGGTTGTGGTGATGGTGGTGATGATTGTCCGCTGCTGACTGGTCAAAGAGTTTTGGATTGCCTTTTTCCCACAGTCCAGGTGCTGCTGCTGCTGCTGCTGCTGCTGCTGCTGCTGCTGCTGATTGTGGGGATTATGGTGGTTGTGGTGATGGTGGTGATGATTGTCCGCTGCTGACTGGTCAAAGAGTTTTGGATTGCCTTTTTCCCACAGTCCAGGTGCTGCTGCTGCTGCTGCTGCTGCTGCTGCTGCTGCTGCTGCTGCTGATTGTGGGGATTATGGTGGTTGTGGTGATGGTGGTGAGGATTGTCCGCTGCTGACTGGTCAAAGAGTTTTGGATTGCCTTTTTCCCACAGTCCAGGTGCTGCTGCTGCTGCTGCTGCTGCTGCTGCTGCTGCTGCTTCTGCTGATTATGGTGGTTGTGGTGATGGTG